TCTCTGCCCTTTTACTGTCTGCCACTGGTACTGGACTCCCCCAGAGTCTCTGCCCTTTTACTGTCTGCCACTGGTACTGGACTCCCCCAGAGACTCTGCCCTTTTACTGTCTGCCACTGGTACTGGACTCCCCCAGAGACTCTGCCCTCTACTGTTTGACACTGGTACTGGACTCCCCCAGAGTCTCTGCCCTTTTACTGTCTGCCACTGGTACTGGACTCCCCCAGAGACTCTGCCCTCTACTGTTTGACACTGATACTGGACTCCCCCAGAGTCTCTGCCCTTTGCTGTTTGGCTCTGGTACTGGACTCCCCCAGAGTCTCTGCCCTTTGCTGTTTGGCTCTGCTAGTGGGGTCACCCACAGTGTTCCCTTACCTTCTGTACTGACAGAAATACATCATATATTACTTTGTATGCTAAAGGCTACTGAGTGGCCCGCGGACACTGTGTTTGCCACCAGGCATGTGGGAGACAGGGATGCCACAGCTGCACTGACGGAAATCATCTTCTGAAGCTGGGTGCACTGGCACCAAACAAATGAATCCATAGGACCTGATGCAGAGGGTCATATGTCTAGATGTGAGCCGCCATAACAGGTAAGCTGTAAAGTCATAGCTTTTGCACACCATCAGTCACAGCAGGGATGAACAGCGCCATTAAGTGATGGACGGGCGATGCTGTCATAGCCTAAGCTAATGTCTCTGGCTTAGGGGGCCAAATAAATCAACCGGCCGCCCTTTCTCTGTTGAAGTGGAGAAGACAGGCTATTTGTCAGTGATGCGAAGCAACAGCCAGGGCACCAAGGAAACTGTGCCAGCCAGGAGATGGACTTCTGGTTGCTGGGCAGGGCTGGGACTGGGGCTCACTGGGCTGCAAGTCGTGGTCTGTTGCTATAAATAATGGCAGTGCGAGATTTGGCACCTTTCAGCGACAGCAGCGTATCCAACTGGACTGTTGTCCCCAACAAAGTCGGGCAAGCAACGCAACTTCATACACCAAATAATACCCAAATCAGAGACACAGTGTCCAGGAACCCAGGGAGTGGCTGGGGGGGAGTTGAGATTCTTTGGACGCTCCATTACATGTCAACAGCAATCGTGAAATAGCCCATCCACATGTGAAGCATTTCTGTGCCATGCGCCCATAGCCCATCCCAGTCCGTAGGACACTGCAATACACCACCACCACCACCATGACTGCCCCCCCTGGAGAGTCTGAGTCGGCAAACAGACCCCAAGGGACCGCTGCAGCGGAAGGCATCTGCATGCTGATGAAGGCATCCGAGGAAACTTTCCAGTGCGACCGGAACGCGAGGAGCTACAGCAGATCTATGTCTCCATGGGTTGCCGCATGACCTAAGACACTGTCCCTATGGGAAATTTCCATCGCACTTATTTACATAAATTAAAAGCCTGCAGACTTTTTACAAAGTGCGAAACGACTGCATTCATGCCTGCCTTGAGGCGACCGCACGGTAAAATCAAGAATAACAGCATCCAGGGGGAGAGATCACGGCAGTGCCTCGTGTTCTTCATGTTCAGATCCTGCTCTGATGCCAATCTGATTTTAGTATTACAGTCCCATTTAATACTTGCTCTATTATCTAATGAAATTTGCAGCCCTCCCCCCCCCCCCGTTTAAAGCCTGTCCCCCACCAGCCTCCACCTGCCAGTCACCTTGAAAGCAGCAGGTGAGGTGTGGCTGCCCAATTCGGGCGGAAACGCGGATCCCACCCCAAGCCGGACCTTAATCTGGGATGTGAAGACGCTGCTTGCTGCGGGTCCCTAAGTCCCAGAGACCCATCTGAGCCGTCACTGTCCCCGGTGTCAGAACTCCTTCTGCCGGCTCCCACAGCCCCTACTTGGTTGTTCTGCTGGACAGAAGGCTGCCGCTTTCTGCACGGATCACATGAAAATGACACCAGTGGGATGGGGAGGGGGGGGGGGCAGGGGTCCTAAAGAAATACCTCCCTCCTGCGGACTCAGCTAAATGAGGTCCTTGATCGATAATGTACCCATTGTCACTGGTG